ATTCGTTGAGCACCACCAGGATCAAAATGGGTAAGTTCATGGGAGTCAATGTCTTGTGGCATTATTATATCTTCGGAAACAATGTCCATTCCATTTTTGTAACAATTCCATGTAATTGTATTCATCATTGTATTAGTTATTTCTGTATTAGTTATTTCTGTATTAGTTATTTCCGTATTAGTTATTTCTGTATTAGTTATTTCTGTATTAGTTATTTCTGTATTAGTTATTTCTGTATTAGTTATTTCTGTATTAGTTGTTCACAAGATACCCTCAAGCAAAACAAATATATATTTCTTTAATAATGATAAAAAAAAAAAAAAAGTATCTGAATGTATCTGAATGTGTTTTAAATTTTGTACATTAATCTTTTGAGAGCAAATATATTAATGTGTTATGCATAATATTGATCTATTATATTATAATGTGACAATTTATAAAATTAATTGAGTTGACTAAAATACATTGGAACCCACCATATTGGCTCACGAATATATATATATATATATAAATATTTCATAAAATAATTTTTAAAAATTAATGTTTACGAGGTTTAAATATAAGGATAATGATCAATCCAAAAATTATTAATAATAATAAAAGTATTATTTTTCGATTCCTACTTTTCTTTTGATAATTGGCCCCCTGTAATTTATTTTATAATTAATACATGTATAAATTTATATATAATTAACAAGTTATGTAAAAATATTTTTTTAAATCTTACCCGATCTAACTCTCTAGTAGCTCCCTTAACATTAGTTACCATTTGTTCAACATTATAATCAATACGATCTAATAATGTACCTTGATCGATTACAAGCGCTTGAAGCTCATTAAATATTTCTGCTATTGTTTGTATTGATTTTGCAATTTCATTTATTTCATGTTCTCGTTGTGAAATTGTTGCTTCTGATGATTCTACTAATGCAAGTTGTTCATTTGTAAAACCCTAATAAAAAACAAAATTTTCTTTTATTTAGATTTTTCACAATACTAAATATATGTAAATATAGAATATTTCATTTCTTACAAAGCCCTGTTCTTCATCTGATTCATCATTCTCTATTGGGAAAAATCCCGTACTTCGAACCTTCACTCCTTTGAGTTCTAATCATTTAAAATTAAATATAAATATATATTTATATTTATATTATAAATTTATATTTATAAATTTTTATTTAAATTTAAATAATTAATAAATATATTACCTAAAATCAATTCTTATCTCAGAATAATAATTAATACATACTTTTCATATAAGCTGATTGTTGTTTCCTAAAATTTGTTGATAAATCTTGTAATTTTGTTGCTAATGAAATTTGTATATTTTTGCTCATGGTTTCTTCTTGATTTGAAGCTGCTATTCGACTTTCATCAGCGATTCGTCTAATTTTTTGTTGACATTGTTTAAAAAGCTGTAAAATATATAATAATAATAATAATAATAATAATAATCAATTCCCTTAATAAATTATTGAGTAATTACTGAATAATGAATGGTTTTGTATGTTTTTTTTTTAAATTAATCCTTAATTACTTTTGTTATTTCCGATGATAAACGTTCTATCTCTCTCTCTTCCTCTGTCCGATCGTCAAATCCTGGCAGTGCATGTTTTCTATGTAAAGACTCCAAGGTTGGAACTATTAACCAGAATAAGGTTAGGAAGGAAGAAAAAAAAATAGATCGGTTGAATATTAAGAAAAAAACTTACTAAGACTCTTTATTTGACTAATATCATCGTCAACCTCTTCAACTATATCCACCCTTAAAAATATATATATATATATATATATTAAATTACAACTAAAATATTCAAAAGTAACTAATCTTCAATCTACCAGTTTGGTGGTAAAACCGAGAGTTCTATAACGTGATCGGAGACTAATAAACCATCACGCTCCCCTGATAAATAATTTAGCGAGGTCGTTGAAGGTCGAGAGTTACTGGATCTCGCAAAAGAATTTCGATATTGTAAAAAGAGCAACGTACGGCTTCTTGTTGTCATCGAATTCTTTTTTCATCAATATTTCTAACATTACATATCTGATATACAAAATCCCCCTCATTGTTATACGTGGCATTATTTACGTATCTCGGTTCACGTGTTTCACATGTGTTAACTATTCTAAGGCATTTAGCATTTACTGCAAGTCCGATAATTTTTCCGCAGCAATAAATAAAATCAATTTTGAATGTTTCACCTACTTTAATTAATCGATGTACTGCGCTTAATGTAAAAAAAGCTAAAATTCATAATATATATATAAGTTTATATATTAAATATAGGATACAGTAAGTCTATTTGTAACATGTTACATAACAACCTATATTTAAATTCTTTATAATACAAAATTTTACTAAGATAATCTCTTTTGTGTTACTAATAAAAAATTCTCACAATTTTGTATTAATTTTAATATTAATTTTAAACCTAATCTAACACTAACTCTAACTCTAACTCTAAACCTAACACTAACTCAAATCCTAATATTAACAGGTTGTTATATAACAGGTTTTTACAAATAGTAAAAATATAAAAAATAGGCTTCAATTAATAAAAATCAAGCAAATTAATTTTTTTTTTTTAATAGTAAAGAGTACAGTATTTAATGTCGCAGCTGATGCTAAAAACGGCTGATGCTGAAATTTGGGGTTTTTATTTAAATCTATAATACCTACTAAAATCTACATATACTTTTTTATTAATAAAACTACCCTACTTACTCTAACCTAACTATGAAAAAAAAGTGTACAAAAAAGACCCTAAAATTTTTTATAAATTCATAATAAAATATGAAAAAATTTTAGAATCAGCTATTTTCAACATCAGCTGCAACATTTAAATTAGGCTATACAAAGTTAATTAGTTTTTAATTTATTAATTTTTAACTTGATAACTTATTGATTTAGCTATTAAAAATTTTCAAATATTTATAATAAAAATATCCTGAGTAGTTAGATATTAGCAAAAACAAAGTTTTTGCTTGTATATATATAGATTTGAAATACAAGTAAGAATATTCCAAATATAGAGAATGTTTAAAGCCAAACTACCTTAATATTCCACCAAAAAGTTGTAGTTATATGACAATTTTGTGATACAAACAAATTAGATTTATAATATTATATGATTAGGAAAATTCAAAACAAATATTTATTTTATCAAAAATCATTTGGTTTTTAAAAATAATAATTAAATCTATTCAACTTGGATAATCTATTAAGCTAATTCAAGTAGACTAACAAGTATTCTTAGTTAATCACTAATAGATAAAATAAAATATATAAATTCTATTTTATTTGATATAAATAAATATTAGTAATAGAGGGTGTGGTGACCTAGTGAAGTGGTGGGGTTGCTGCACCCCCAAACGGCAGGTCTAGAGTTCAAATCCCATGGATGACGATTTTGAAAAAACTAGATCTGTATCGGTTAACGTTAAGATTATCGGTTGGATTCAGATATCTGTAATCTTGGTCACACCATTTCGAATGGGAGCTTCGGCGTAATAAATCCAGAAAACTGGAATTATCAAAAACCCATTTGGCAAGTCCCGAGTTGGGAGTAGCAGCGATCTTTGACGGTGCTACAGGAAGACTAAATTTGGAACC